CTTCATACGAACAAAAGTAAGAGAAATTTAGGATAAGAATACGAACATGTTCCTGCATGAGGCCCAATATGAGGATAAGTTCAGGGGAGGGAAACTTAAGACCGACTGAGCTGAACGTTAGAATGAAACTCTGTTTTTAATCTCACCTTAAACTTAAAAAAAAATAAAAGCATTACAGTACGTACATGCCTAAAAGAGGCTTTCAGGTGATTTTTTTTAAATTCCATCTTCAGCGTAGATGTCTTTGAAGTTTTCATAAGTTGTCTAAAACTTTATAGTGTGACAGAGCATTAAGTTCAGTTACACTCCTGTTGGATACAAAGACAGCAGAGAAACAGCTCTCACTCTGCAGACTGAAGCGTTCACAGCTGCCCTCTTCCACAGGGGTCACTAGCTTCATTCTCAAACTCAGCTTCTTGTCTCCCTTTTCTGCTGCATCCTCTTCACTTGGTGCAACATCGCTGGTAGCCAACGCCACCTCTGCAGAGACATCAGCCACATCAGACTTTTCAGAAAAAGAGGCGATTTCTGTGTAAAGAAAAACAGAGAAAGCAATGAAACAGCATTAGATGWTGTCTGATGTCTGTCGAGGGTTTTGTGGTGACAGAACCCACCGATGGGAGTGCTGTGTCTCAGTGTCTGCTTCAGCTGGGTGATCAGAGGTGGCGTGGCACCAATGGCAGGAGTGATCAACTCCCCTTCTTTAGGAAGYGTGAAGTGAAAAGAAATTTCTGTGAAAGAAAAGCAGGAATCAGGAGGGTTTGTTTCCTCTGCAGGGCATTACAACAAAACTCACGAGATTTGGTTGTTATTGAACTTTCTTTTGGCGATGCCTTTTTAAAAAACATTTTAGAAGGTTTGGCGGAAAAAAAAGAGAGCAGTATAAGTAATAATAAAAAACTATTTTTTTCTTGTTTCTTTGTGCCAATGTGCTCTCTGTTGTCGTGTCTTCTGGGTGAGGTCTAGTGTTGATGACTCCAACAGGACATGATGACACAACAGATCTCATTCTGTGGACTGAGAGATCTTTTTCTCACTGAGTGTTCAAGGAGAAAGCGTCAGGTAGATCCTGATAAATCCTCCCACTGCAGAACATCACACACAATCAGCACAGAGAGCACGGCTGACAGAGTGGATGTTATTTTCAGCTGATGATGGAAGAGTTGGAGAAGAACCATCAGATATTTCTGTTATTAACTAAGGAGAAGCATTATTTTGTCAATCTGTCAATAAGAGACCATCACTGTTATAATAGAYGGTGCAGGAATGTGACTCGTCATGAAGAGTGGGCTGTTCTCCCGTCTCTTTATGTTTTATTTGACTTCATCATTTTTACTGGAACAGATGGAAAGTTGGCAGTACTTTCACACAGTCTCAGYCTGCAGCAGCAGAGATCAGTTCACAGAAGAGATTTTACATAAATGCTTGACGAACAGTGCTTTGAGAACTACAGTCATTCTGTTTGGGGGAAATGAAGGAGACGGGGGTCTCAGCAGATGGTAAAAGTAGCAAACTGCATGATTTTTATCATGCACCTGCATAAGCAAGACCCCAAGAATGGCCTTCTGAATCAGGCTTAACTCCGCCCCCACAGCAGGCTGTGTGAGACGAGCAGCAGGAAGGGAGAAGAGGTGATCCGCTGCTGGTATTCAGAATCAACATTTAACGCAGAGCATTAAGTTTACAACTAAATAATCAGTAACTAAATGACGTGACAACTTTTCAGTAAGTTTACTTAGTAAATGATTGATTCAGTCAGATTTAAACAATGCTGATATTTTATCACTTCAAAAGCAAAGACAAAAAAAACTTTTTAACAAAGAACAAGAACACTTTCTCTTCTGTCTGCATTAAGTGTTCTGCTTCAATTTTAAGAAGGATTTCTTTGCAACATAGGTCTCATTAACTAGAGCAGATTAATTCTGAAAAATAGTTATAATAAACACTAATAAATAAGATCAGAACTACGGCACACTTAAACTATTTTGTAGGGTCTTTTTAAAAGTTTTTTCTTTTATGTTTTCCCAAAAGCCTTTTTGTTGTCTCAATGTTTTTTCAACTAAACAATTTAATTTTTGAGACAGACTAGTTTTATAAGACTTGAAAACACTAACCAGTGGGATGTGTTTAGTTAGATATTAGCCTAACCTGGACAAAGACTTGACTCTTCCTCCACTCTGTGTAACTGATAACTGTAGCTATATAACTATAACTAACTATAGATAACTATCTGACAGAACATCCCTTTAGCTGTTAAAAACTCTGCAGACTGTGCGTGCACTGTGTTTACCTCCGGAGCTTTCACTCATGCTTCTGTCTTTGATGCCCTCTGGTTCATGCTGGACATTCTCCACCTGGGACGGCCCATCAGCTGCAGCATCTGCCTCTGGCTCCTCAGTTTGGGATTTGTGGCCATTAGCAGAGACCGATGGCTTGCCTCTGACTGGCTGAGAGTGGTGGATTTTTGTCTGTGGGGGGACATCCTTCTCAYCTTCTCCTACAATAATGACACTGTTTTCATTCAGGTCTTGGCTGTCCTCCTCCTCCATTGGTTCAGGAGACACCAGCTGGCTCTGAGAGAGAACCAGAGCARTTCCTGAAGCTCCATCCATCTTCTCCTGCTCCATCACTTCCTCCTCTTCCACATCACCCTGCTCACACTCGTCTCTCCYGTCTTTAAGTGTCGGGCTGCTACTAACTGCTTCCAGCTGCTGTCCTGTAGGCAGACTCCTYGCTGGTTCTGCTCTCAGGCTTTCGGACTTCACAGCACCCACAGCAGACTGAGAAATCCCTAGCTTTGAAGGCAAACTGCAGGGTGTGTTGTCACAGGGGGTTTCTGGCACACAGCTGTTAGCTGTCWGATCACAGGAAGGGCTGATGCTGCTCTTTGCATCTTTTACATTCATGTTTTGTTCACTCAGAGGAGATTCTGCCTCTTTGTGCTGGTCAGAATTCTGATTTGACGGGTGGGTTCTGCTGCGTTCGTTCTGCTGCTTCAGCGTTTCAGCAGACATAAAAGGTTTGGAACTTGTGKTTTGTGACTCTGAGAGAACGGCATTGCTCTCATTTTTCTGATTAGGACGTGAAGTCACAGAGTCACTGGTGTCAACAGCTGGCAGATCTGTAAACTCTTCGATCTGCGTGGCCTGGCTGTCCTCCTCGATCCGCTCTGGGCTCTTCAGATGTGGGTTACAGGGATTACAGCTGTCCGTGTTCACTGACAGCTGCAGCGGTGAGCTGAATGAAGCACACTCCTGCTGCTGAGACTGTGACTGACAAGGCAATGATGCTGATTTCTTATCGGACTGCTGTGAAGATACTGAACTCTGTGTTGGGACAAACACATCCTGAGAAAACAAACAGGAAACATCAGAAACCATCACTGCAGCTGTGGCTCGCACTCATTATAAACAAATGTGTTYAATCCCAGGAGGTTTTTGCTCATGCCTGTCTGCGTTTGTTTGTTTGTTTGTTAGCAAAATATCTCATGAGGATGGATTTGAATWAAACTCTCAAAAAGCAAACAATGGAGGCACGTCTATAACTGATTAACATCTGAAGCTAATTCAGTTTAAGATGGCCATGATAATTAACAACCTGAGCAAATAGATACAAGCTAATCCCAATGACATTGGGATTATGTGTAAAACTTAAAACAAGAACAAAAGTCAGGGTATTTAATGTTCAAACTGATAAAAACATTTTTAACATTATTTTTAATATTCACTCATTTTGAATTAGATGTTTGCAACACGTTCWAATAAATCTGGACAGGGTCATGTTTCCCTCTGTTTTCCATCAGCTTTCCTTTAACACTCAGWGTTTGTGAACTGAGGACACYAATTGTTGACGTTTTGTAGCTGAATTCTTTCATTSTTGAGCGACTGAAGTTCATCAAGCAACAGTACAAGGTCTCTTCATGATGCTCYACACATTTTCACTGGGAGACAGGTGTGGACTGCAGGCAGGCCAGTCTAGTTCCTGCACTCTTTACTCTGAAGCCACGCTGTTGGAACACGAGCAGAATGTGTCTTCATTGTCTTGCTGAAATCAGCTGAAATCAGCAGGACGTCCCTGAAAAACACRTGGCTTGGATGGCAGCATATGTTGCTCCAAAACCTGGATGTAGCTTTCAGCTATAATGGAGCCTTCAAATGTGACAGATACTAATTCACCCCCATACCATCAGAGAGGCTGGCTTCTGAACTTTGTGCTGATAACAGTCCAGACAGTCTTTCTCTTTGAACTGGAGGACATGAAGTCCATGATTTCCTACAACAATTAGCAATGTGGACTCATCAGACCACAGGACACTTCTCCTCATGAGTCAGTCCATCTCAGATGAGCTCAGGTCCAGAGAAGCTGGAGGTGTTTCTGGTTGTTGTTGATATCTGTCTTTGTCTTTGCATGATAGAGCTTTAACTTGTAGCTGTAGAGATGAGCTGTGTTCACTGATGATGGTTTTCTCAAGTCTTCCTGAGTTCAYGTGTTAATATCTGTTACAGAGTGATGTGGGTTTTTAATGCAGGGCTGCCTGAGGGGTCAAAGGTCACAGGCTGTCAGTGTTGGTTTTGATTTGTCCMGATTCTCTGAACCTTTTGATGATCTTATGGACTGTAGATGATGAAATCACTAAATTCCTTGCAACTGCTGTTCCAAAACTGTTGTTACGACTTGGAGCAGGGTGTCGAAAAGCCATAAGAGCTCTGGCAGAAGAGGAAGAAGGGCAGTTTTTGGCTGTGGCTGAGAATGAAGGACAGAACTTGGGGGGGTAAATAAAATCTAGGGCATCAGCARKGGGTGGCAGGGAGAGACTCTGCCATCGCACCGCCACCATGAAATGTTCTGGGGTTAAAGGAGCAAAACATCAGTGATTGGTGGTCCCCGGCTGAKGACCCGTTTATGCCCATGGAGATGATCAGGAGAGTGTATTTGCACAAAGGCACCAGTGGAGGTGAATCAGACAGCAAAAGGCCTAGCAGTAGTCCATCAATCTGTATTTTACAAGTTGGACTTGCTCACACAGTTGTTCACAAAGTGGTGAACCTCGCTCCCTCCTTGCTTGTGAATGATTGAACCTTTCAGGGATGCTCCCTTTATACCCATCATGACTCTCCAATGAACCTGTTCACCTGTGGAATGATCCAAACAGGAGTTTTTTGAACATCCCTCAAATGTTTTGTTGTCTTTTGTTGAACCTGTCCCAGCTTCTTTCGGAATRTGTTGCAGCATCAAAATCAAAACGAGTGAATATTTGAAAAGAAAATTAAAAAATAAATAAAGTTTATCCGTTTGAACATTAAAAATCTTGTTTTTATTTACGCAATTAAATAAGTTGAAAAGTATTTGTAAATAATTGTATTCTGTTTTTATTTATGCTTTACACAACATCCCAGCTGCATTGGAATTGAGGTTGTAAATGGCTATWACTCACGTTTACATGTATTGAACTTGAATGTCATGCAGTCACAACAGAGTTATCAACACAGCTTATACACTGAGCATAAAGTGATTGCTCAAAACCTGATTTTTAAACATCATTAACTGCTGTCTTCAGCTGTTTAGCTCATAAATCTCTGAATGGATTTTAAAAAACTCTAGTTAAGTAATTATTTGGTRTGCATCTATCACTGACTATCTTCTGGGGTAAATCTAAATAAGGATGGCAGCAACAGCTAATCAGACTTAGCCGACACGAAAATGGCTACAACTTAATCACATTTATAAGTCCCTATTTTATATTCCAAGTTCTGACTTTTTGCAAGATCTTGTAATATTGCACAAGCTTGTGCAATATTGTGTTAATGTTAATGAAAACAATAAATGTATCAAAGTTATTTTAAGGCTAGACTAAACTACAACACTGTCTATTCTTGGCTTAAAATGATTTTAGTTAGAACCTTTGGCATAAAAAGCTGAGCATTCCTTCAATAAATGATGGGCCTTTAAMTAATAAAATGCATCCGAAGAGTGAATCGATTTAAACGTAATCAGCGGTGTTAGATAGAGGGCAAGAAAAACTATATATTTTTCCAGCTGGTTAACATAAAGGAACTAAAGTTGAAAAATTMTTGGCTTTCTTTTCGACTGCTCTCATCTGCAGGGGTTGCTACAGGGAGCGAACTCAAATGACAARTTTGGCAATTGTTTTATGCCAGATGGCCTACATGAGACAAACTGGGGTTTGAACCGGCAGTTTCAGAACTACAAGTCCGTAGAAATGAGAACCGAAATACTGGGGCTTAGAGTTAAGCAGTCATGATCCTTTTTATACCGCAGTATAACCTTTAGAACATACCACAGTACACAGTATTACAGGGGGGTTCTCCTCCTCTGTTTGTCTTAAATGAGCGGAGGTGGTCAGAACACGCATCAGTAAGGTTATTGGGCATCTTCTGTAAGAGCCTTGAAKGGTTATGTCCCAGTTTTCAAACCAGCCTCGTGGAAATGTGGTGCTTCACCTCACGTGAATCCTACATCATAATGTTTACATACGGTCACCATATTTTGATACTGCAGTATAATAAAATACTGTCATACCACCCAAGCCTACTGCAGCTTATTAATTATTGTAATTTTTTTCATGTCTGAGCACAAATGTTTTCTATAAATTTACAGAAAAATATATGCACAGTGGGCAGGTTTTCATTTTTGCCTGCTTAAAAAACTAATAAATGGATATGAAAGAACAGAATAAATTGGTCAAAGATACACTGCTTCTGGAAATTAAATCCAAATAATTATACTTCTTAAACAAAACTGGACTGAACCAGGGTT